ATTGAGTTTATTGACGCACGATTAGTCAATATATTAGCAAATATATGCGTACAGTCATCTCCCGTACCGGCTTGAATATAGCTGATTGACCCTGATTCACGCTTTGTTTTCATCGGCCCTGGCTCGCGGCAAGGCTCGCGGCAGTGTTGCTAAGGGGAAGTGACGTCAGTCCGCCCCCACCTATATACATAGTATCAGGAGTGTATCAAACACTCCTGATGATACACTCCTGTTTGATACACTCCTGATAGTATTATACAGTGCACTGGTACATGGTGTACTGTGCACTTCATGAACAGCAGGGCCGGGAAGCTGTATCGTAAAATAATGTGTTTGCTTCTCTTTTTACTTTCAGTGATCACTTTTAGCACTCTCTTTAATATCAGCTAATGCGGTTAGCACGAGTAGGATCAATGCCTAAGGCATTTCATTACCGGTCAGCAAATGTCATAAAATTGCTTGTCGAGAGTCAGCTTAGCAACCATGGAATTTTCAGGCTCAGCACACACAGATCTGCCACATAAATGCCGTGCCGACGTGCTGCGCGTGCTGCTGAAACCCACACTGTGCTGTTTAATATGCCGAACGTTAACGAACACTGTGCTTTTCATCGCGACTTCTTTCAATTAAAAAAAAAATCCGTCTAGCTCACACAGCCGAAACCAGTTACGGAGTCTCTTACTTAGATAGAAAGCAATGTAAGCATTTATGGTCTCTCACGCATGTCTATAGAAATGATGTACTTTACTGCGTAGATGTGTGCTTTATACATCATTGCCACATCAGACACTTGCATAATGATATAAACCAGATTATAAACACGTGAGAAGCCTGTTACATCCCGCATGGCACACAACTGGATGTTTTGAAGTGAACAAAATGTCAGGGTGCTTTTTCTGTGGCTCTAGTACGTTACGTGTGCGTTTGAACACATTACTGCTAACATGGCAGGGAAACAACTACAGGGTTTCTTATACATAAGAGGCAGAGTGGCGCACAGCCGTCGTCAAATTTAACATCGCCGTTGTGAAAAAATGCTCCTGTAGAGTCAGGGGAGCTCAAAGTATGTAAATTACAATTAATTTGGTTAAATTATGTGTTTTTTTCTCCCAAACTGGCCATTAACTCCTTTGTCTAATTTTCCCTGAGAAGAAACCCTGAACTAGAGATGACATTAAAAAGCACAAATATTTTGTTTTTGTTAAGTAAATGCTAGTGAACACTACACAATGCACATAGCTACAATGTGGGCGCCTTGTCGGAGATTTTCACATTTAATCGATCAGGACTTGTAAAACTATCAGTGGCATTAGCAACAGTACACTGCAATCATCCCCACATCTGAAGTTCTCATGCTGCTAATGTTCCAGTATCATTACATCCTCCAATGTTGATGACGGAAACAGTGACAGCGTGCAAGATCGCTACACTGATTATTCGCATGTAACGAGATTCGAATCAATAGTGAATAGACACAGCTAGACATAATTATGATGACATATAACCAACTCGCGCTGGTATGTGCGAGGGCTTGTTATTTGTTGTCTTAGTACAGCTTCATGCGGTGAGAAGCCAGACTCAGACAGCCAGACTGCACATGAAAGTTTAATGACCCATTACAGAGCTATCAGATAGGGTTCCCCAGACTTTTGCCGGCTGTGGCTTGTGTATTGATCCAGCAAACGTAATTATAGACTTGTCTGACGAGCCCCTTCCCCTTCACAGTTGATAACTCAAATACGTTACTGTTACTGCACAACCATGGTTACGTTTCTTGGAGGACCATGCAAAACCTCCACTACCCTGGACTTTCGCTTTAATAACAGTGCGATGTTTATATGTAAAATTTAGTTACTACATACATAGATCCAAATATACATCCAGTAAAATTGCCACATTGCCATTTATGTTGGTATGCTTGTACACACAAAAGCACTGTTATGAATTAATATCAAATGTATCTTACACTAGCATTTACTAATGAAACAAAGGCTTATGTGTTCAAACTAAAACTATGAATCACTTCACTTTACTTAACAATTAAGCTGGAAAAAGTCATGGTACGTTATGATATGTGTATGGTGTGCGATCCTGGTAAATTAAACTATACATACCTGTTCATCATCTTGTTCTTTTCGTCCAGTGGGATGAAGTTTTCAATAATTAGGTACTTGAGTTTCAGTTCTTTAGTGAGCGAATTCTGTGTCTCTTCTAGCTCCTGTCGCTCTCGGCTGTGTTCCTCCTACACATATAGACACAACTGATGTATGCCGACGCTAACATACTAGTGCACACCACAACAAAATCACTACAAACAAAAGTATTACACCAACCTCTAAAGGACTTATATAGCATCTACTGCTAACCTTTACACAATGTATATTCTACTGAAAAATTAATGTACTCTCCACAGTAAACCAAGCACTTAGCGCGAATCAAATTTAGTCGTTTCGATCCTCATCCAGCGACACATCAACATGCAAGGACAACACGATCGTTCTGTGCACGTGCCCATTAACGGTGCGCGAGCGTCCTCACCTGAATGTCCTGGATTTCCAACTTTGTCGCCTGCAGCTTCGCGAAAAGCTTCTTCAGCTTCTTCGTCTTGATCTCGACCTCCTGCCGCAGGTTGGAGAACGTCTCGCCGATCTCCATCGCGCTCGCCTCCTTCGTCTCGAGCGTCTGCTCCATCTCGCGCTGCCGCCGCTTCTGCTCGGCGATCTCGAGCCGCCGCTGCTCCAGCGCCCTCTGCTGTTCGTTCGTGTGGTCGATGATGTTCTTGCCGCCGGACAGCAGCTTGCTCTCCATCGCCTTGATCTTGCTGTGCACGTCGTGCATCTGCTTGTGGTGCCGCGCGAGCTCCTGCTCCTTCTGCTGCGCCTCGCTCAGCAGCTTCTCGCGCTCCTCCGCGATCATGTTCTTGTCGTTGAGAATCGCGACCTTCTCCGCCTCCAGCTTGTCGCGCTGCTGCTTGAGCAGCGTCTCCTCGTCGACGTCGTCGTCGCCGTCCTCGTCCTCGTCGTCGACCTCCTCTTCGATGATCTCGCGGCCGTCGGCGTCGTACTCGACTTTCCCGCGCCGCCGCCGCCGTCGCTTCCGCCCGCCGCCTCCGCCGCCGCCCGCGCGCTCGGCGAGGTGCTTCTTCAGCCGCGCGATCTCCTCCTGGAACTCGCGCAGCAGCGCGTCCTTCGGGTCCTCGTTCACCTTCGGCCGGTTCTTGATGTTCTTGGCGCGGTTCGCGTAGCGCAGCGTCGTCATCGTCTCGTCGTAGTTGTAGCTCGCCGGCCCGATGTTCGCGACCATCACCGTGCGCGCGTTGCCGCCGAGCGAGTCCTGCAGAATGCGCGTCAGCTTCGAGTCGCGGTACGGCACGTGCGAGCTCTTGCCGTCGACGAGCGCCGAGATGACGTTGCCGAGCGCCGACAGCGACAGGTTGATCTTCGTCGCCTCCTTGAGGCGCTCGCCGGCGGCGCCCGTCTTCGCCTGCCGCTCCGAGCCGGCGAGGTCGACGAGGTTCAGCTTGCCCGCGCGAATGTGGTTCTCGCCGTCGGGCCCCAGCTCGCTGCACTCGATCGTGATAATGAAGATCGCGTGCGAGCGCGAGCTGTGCTCGTTCATGTTCGTCGCGCCGACGCTGCGGTTCTGATTGCCGACGGTCATCACGTGCTCGATCTCCTTCACGCTCTTGCAGACGAACGACGACAGGTCCTTCACGTAGACGCCCGTGTCGGGCCGCTCCTTCAGTTCGAAGCGCTTCGCCTGGTCCTTCGAGAGCAGGTCGCGGATCTCCTCCTGGTAGATCTCGAGGTAGGAGGCCCTGACTAGGTACTGCTGGTCCTTCGAGCGCGAGATGTGCGTGAAGATGTGGTCGAAGGAGTTCGGAATCATCCCGCGCAGTTCCGGGTCGTTCCGAACGCCCTCCATCGTGAACGTCTTGCCTGTAATGTGGCGATGTGTACTATAGTAGCGTCATATGCTAACCCGTAGTATAGTCACGTGTCCTTTTGTTATACCCTCTTCAGCTTATATACTTATATTAGAAGTAGACTATGACAGGAACATATGTGTCCTGACGATTAGATCTTATGAGTAAAAAGATGTAATTGTAAAAATTATTCTTGTTAAAAGAATAAAACTAAATTATTTAAACTATTTTTCAAATAATAATTATTTTTTAAACAGCTCATTTGACACAATTGATTAACTTACAAGGCAATTTAAGACAAGAAACACAAAATCCACTGACATTGGATCCCACAGGACACCTTACCTGTCCCTGTCTGACCATAGGCAAACACCGTTCCATTGAATCCTTCCAGCACTGACTGCACGAGCGGCCGGAAGGTTTCATCGTAGAGATCAGTCTGTCGAGAACTGCTGTCGTAGACGGCGTCGAAGGTGAAGGACTTTGGTGGCTCGGTGCGGTCTGCTTTCGGGTTTTGCACTTCGACGTTGCCTCGTTTCGAGTCGACGTGAACGACCTCTCTGAAGCCCTCTGCGATCTCTTTCCGATTCATCGGCCGAGAGCGAACCACCACCTTCACGCACTCGTCACTTTTCTTTCTCGACATTCTACTTAGTTACTTACTCTCTAAACTAATAGCGCATTCATATTAACTTCTACATGTTGACTACTAACATTATTTTATATATATATATACATATTATTATATTCCTCAAGATTTATTGAGATTCACTTTGAGCAGATCTTTAAATCTGAAATAAAGAGAAAATGATATTAAATTTCACATTAAAAATGGTATGCTCTGCCTCACACTTGATGTATTACATTAAGGTGGTATGTTGAGCCTAAGTGGTTTATCATTATGGTTAGACTAGCAACTGGTCTAGGTTATCGCACTGAACATGTATGTTACTACCGTTTCACTCATTGCTCAGCAACCATCACTGTGCTCGGCTTGTGTCGGCGGGTCAAGATGTGATTATATGACTTAAAAGTTAAGGTTCTAACTTCTAAGATTGCAGGGGAAACACACTATCTTTACTGTCTTATAGATTTGGTAATTAATGTGAATTTATCAATCAATGACCCCATGTACACTTGCGTGCGTGCGCAGTTAGAGTAGAAAAAGCTTCAATTTCGCAATTAACGAAAAGATGAAGGAAGAGAATTCCAATATGGGATGACACTGACAGAAACGAAGTCAAAGAAGCTAAACTTCAAGCCTATAAAGGGATCCCCTGAAGATGGTACATGTGAAAAGAAATGATTGATCATGCATAGAAGTACCGGTACTACTAAAATATCTAATACTAATAGGCTTCATTAAGCAAACGGGAATGCCAAACTTCACCTGACCATGATAAGCACTATGAAAAGTTATGTTTTATATGAAGAAAGCGAACACAAAGTCGAAGACGGAAGAGCCCGATCAAGTTGTGTGTATGCATGTGTGAGTGCGTGTATGTGCGCGTGACGCGGCGTGTGTGTGCGTACACAGTGCAGTGTCAGTCACAACAATGTTACATAACTGGAAACTTTCATCATTTTAAAAAGCATATAAATATTAACTAGAGATTTTCGAAGACGAGATCTAGCCCTTCTTAGTAAGTAGCGGTGTTAGGTAATTCGTTGAGTCGGGTACCGTTAGATACCGTACAATAATGTAACCCAAACCCAGGATAGGGTTACAACGCGTCGCTATGGTTTTCTGTGGAGGAAGGGAGTGAATCACTCAGGGGTTCCCTGACTTTCCTCCACAGAAAACCATAGCAACACGTTGTAACCCTATCCTGGGTTTGGGTTACATTATTGTATCTAGGCCTAGGGTACCGTACGCCTTTTCCAGGAACATTTCTCCGCTTCCATAACTCACCCGATTGAAACTAAATCTGATAGTACTACTACTAGTACTACTAAGTTTAATCATCACTCTGTATGTTGAACTGAAACTCATTTACACGCACAAGTGGTTAATTTTCATTAATCATACTTTCAGTAAATAATGATTACATTTTGCATAAAACCTCAACATTACCTTCTTAGAGAACCCATTTTGTTTCTATCGATGACGTCATCGGCAAAGACCGTCGATGTTTACCTGCTCACTTGTTCAAATATGGTAGCTTCCATAGTGGCGTTAAAAGTGAATGAATGGTTTAGGATTTTTTTAGAATCAAAGCAGAGCATACGAATATTTATATGCTCTGATCAAAGTAAAACGCGATGACAGTGTAGCAAAATGTTTCAGTTTTTAGCAAAGAAATGTGCACGCTACAGTATTTCCGCACGTAACGTTAGGTGCGCAGCAAGGCACCAGCGAAATGCACATTCTGCAGCCGGTTATAGGCTTAGGCAAGAGGACGATGAAAGAGAACGGGTAAATATCGGGGGAAGCAATGACGACAGGCAGACATCAGAGAAGATTTATGATCAGCTCTACCCGCACCACATATGCACTACTCCCCTACAAAAAGCTATTCTGACAGTTGGATCCGGTGCTATCGCGCTGTTTGCACCATGGAGAGGCGACATGGTTGCTACTTTCGGCGAAACGACAGCAAGTCTTGCATTGAAGGGCATGAAAGAGAAAATGCAACGTGATGTCGTCGGGCGACAAATTCTACAGGAGCAGCCACGTATAAACATGAAAACACTTGACCTTCCCTATTTGGAATCACTTCCCGACGACACGTTTGGCTACGCGTATGCCACAAACTTTCTCAAGCGGTACAACTTGAATCCTGATGACCGTCCACCCGTCGAGTTCATTGACGATGCGCAGCTGTGGTACGTGATGACCCGATACAGAGAGGTACACGACCTGCTCCACACATTGCTTGGTATGCCAACAAACATGCTAGGAGAGGTGGCTGTGAAATGGTTCGAAGGGTTACAGACTGGTCTTCCCATGTGTGTCCTTGGGTCTATGTTTTCCCCAATGAGATTTGGGCCGAAGTTCAGCAGACTGTACGCAACGCAGTTTCTTCCCTGGGCACTGAACACAGGCAGGAATGCAAACTTCTACATGAATGTCTATTTTGAGAAGGAATTCGAAAAGCCAATGGATGTACTGAGAAATGAAATGGGCATCCCACCACCACCACAGATGTAATTGAATTTTTTTCGCACAATCTTCCTAAACCATTAAATTATTTGTATACATATTTAAAATGTATGTGTATACTATTGTGAGACAAATCAAGATAAAATAATAAGACAAAAACCTTTTCTCAGGTGTTTCCTTTTTATTTCTTTGACAAACATTTTTGCAACCATATATCTAGACAGGTGTGACTATTTATTTACAGACTATTAAACGCCATTTCATAAATGGTTGGAAAAGACTTACAGACACAATTATATACACGTAAAATGAATATATAATACCAAGATTAGATAATAACACAAGAGTATCACACCCGATTCTTGCATTTTTAACTGATTTTTCTCATCAAAATTTGCCACCAATAAAGAAGCAAGTGTATACGTTCCTCAGCTTATTATGACCACTAATCACTCACCTTCGTGGTACTGATATTCGTTTACATATATTTGCTAGCGTATTGCTGTAAATCGTAATCTTGCACGAGCTTAATTCGCACAATTTACCGCTATTGTGTGAGGTGTTAAGACAAATTTTGAAGCTATAGTGGCGCCAATATTTAGAAACGGACTGTTTCCAAATCATTCGTGCCCCGATAGGGGTTTAATGTACTTGATTACCTGCGCGTGCGTAATGTGATACTTACTGCAAACTACTACAGAGAATATTGTTATTATTGTATTATTACTTATGTAAGATAGTATGTCAATTTCTTGTGTTGCGATCACAATAACTGAGCGCGTCTCGCGGTTCCTCACGAGATCAAAATTCGAAATTTAGATTGTCTCTCAACCCTATCGGGGCACGAATGATTTGGAAACAGTCCGTTGCTAAATATTGGCTAACGTTGCTAAAATATAGCTTCAAAATTTGTCTTAACACCTCACACAATAGCGGTAAATTGTGCGAATTAAGCTCGTGCAAGATTACGATTTACAGCAATACGCTAGCAAATATATGTAAACGAATATCAGTACCACGAAGGTGAGTGATTAGTGGTCATAATAAGCGGAGAAACGTATACACTTGCTTTTTTATTGGTGGCAAATTTTGATGAGAAAATCGGTTAAAAATGCGGGAATCGGGTGTGTTACTCTTGTGTTATTATCTACTCTTGATAATACTCATGATGCATTTAGAAAAACATATTCATATTCTGTAATATATGGTGACTCTGGATATTAATTTTTATCCTTCTAGTGGATTTCAATAGGTAGAATTTTCTTACATGCATATTACACATCATTGTTATATTGCCTTAGCATTTTACCTATCTTTCAAATGACAACAACAGTTACAATTTCACAGACGTGGAATGTAGCATTTCCACATGTGCACAATTGCATTAATCACAATACATACAAACAAAAACATGTTTTCATCTAGCTTCAACCTTGCTTGGCTACTGGCTTGGTCGCACCAGAAAAGCTCTACCTAACACACAACGGACTACAAAAACGGTTCTTCCGATTTCACGGACGTGGGTAGGCTGCGACTGTACGTCACCAAATTCTCGGTCTTCGTAAATTCGCCAGACGCTTGGGAAAAAGCGGCTTCCGTCTTCACCGCCGGGCCTCCCGTAGAGAACACGCTCTTGACCCCTATGACGGGCGAGGACGTCGTTAGATGCGACCCAGCGCCGCCGCTCGGCACCGACACCATGACGATGGTGGGCGACACCGCCGGACTGCCACTAGATGTCGCCCCCGTTGTCATCACCTTCAAAGTTTGCACCTGAGAAAAATGACACAGTATAAATAAGAATACGTAAAGGTTCACGAGCTAACATTGAGATGCATAATGGTGCTCTCAGGTCTATACTACGAGTGAGGTTTGTGTGCCTGCATGCATACATTGTGTATGTGCATGGTGCCTACACTAAGCCTTTGAATACACAATATTGCTTATGGTCATAAGCAATATTGTGTATTCAAAGGCTTAGTATTAACATCTTTATTTAGCGATTGCATTAATACTGTAGCTATTGCAAAAGCATTTCCTTTGTCATACTTTGATAATGAAAATTATGAAATATAGTTTAGTTTAAAAAAAACCTTGGCAACACCAGTGTAATTTTTAGTCCTTAATTACCACTAATATATCATAGAGACTAGTTGTATTGCATGAGAATATACACTGCGAGTACAGTAATGCTGACCCACCTGTTGAGATGTGGCAATTGTCGACGAGCTAGCAGGACGCGCCTGTGATGACACGATGACGTATTTTTGGCCAGATGCAGCAGTGCCACCTATAGGCCTCTGCACCGTTGTCGGAAACCGAGCCTGTACCAATCCGGAGCGAGCGCCAGTGCCTGCCGCCGTTGGAATGTACGTCATCCGCGTCTGAAACAAGTGAACATGCCTAATAACAACGTCTGTACAACAGTCACAGTGTTTCTTTCTATGAGTTACATTCACGGGGAAGTCAGGGAAATTGTGGAGTATCCAGGGTCATCAGGCTATGCCACTGAATGTGGGAAATCGGGTACAGACCCACACAAGAAAATGTACCGGTGCACTGGCCTTAAAAAATGCACCAGGTCATAACATCCATCTCCCATGTTGCTTGTTTAATGGATGCAAACCGCTCGGTGTTAAAGAATTATTTATTATTCATGCTCCTAATTACCACGTTTTACTCCTACTTACCGTACCCACACCTGGCCGCACACCTGTCTGGACGACAGACGGCGGAGGCGCCTGCCGTAGCTTCATGACGTGGGAATGAGTAGGTGGTCCTAGGTACCCAAACTCGTTACGGAAATCGTCCAGAGTGTCAGTGCCTTGGCGTGTGGCCTTCCACGCGGCACCTACAACTTTCTACGGAGAGCAAGAGTTGTGTTACTGGGAGTCTTCTGCCACCAGAAAGTGATTATTATGTATAAAAATGACAAGGTTTAAATAACTTTCATGTGCTAGAGAGACAACCGATGGCTTTCAAGAGTTGGAAACAAGGAAGCTCTTCGGAAAGCCATGCGAAGTCAAACACAATTACTTTATGCCTGGTAAATGTTCATACAATATAATAAAATACTGATAATTCAACTCATCATCATAACAAATACTTGATAAAAACTAGTGTTTTTCACCCGATGGTTGAAAAAAAATGCTGTAAATTTAATTTCTTTAGTAATTTTTGACCGGCAGAAGAACGACGTGCTTTATCGCGCATTTTTCCGCGGCGGCTAACCTCGACCACGCACCATGATCAGCTGCTTGACGTGCTCGGCTGCGATGCGGTCTATGTTGCTCAGTACGGGTCCCTCGAGGCAGGCGCGCACGCGCTCCCCGATGAAGCGCACGCGCGGAAACAGCAGCGTCTTCACCACCTACACGACGACGACGCCACGGAATCGACAAACGTTAGATTCACGCTGTGCTTCACCATGTTTAGATATGTCAACTTAATTTCTTCATGGTGGGAAATGAAACGTGCTATACGTAGTAGTAGTAGCAGTGATAGTCAAGTGTTTATTACTATAACACATGACATTACATAAACCTGCATTTTTTAACCAGTATTAAGCGACATTAATGACATTTCTGGAATTTCAGTAGACATACAACACAGGTTCAACAGCAAGTGATGGTCTGAACAAGCATAGTCTATATATGTACTCACTTCATGGCCCAACTCTCCCATGCCTGATATTGCACCATAGTAGCTAGCTAGTGGTGCTCGGTCATTCTGTAAGCATCTGGTGAACATGCGTGTCACTCGCGTCTGTATGTTGTTCGTCGTGGTGCTGAAACTCCTATACGATAAAAGCAATTGCACACGTATGCACACATCAATATGAATATGCGCAGCACGACTTCGACTGCAGATGCAGTTTCCACGAAATTACACGGTTAAACTGACATCCGATGCCAACCTAAAGCGATGCTATAATGCATCAACCAATTGTCGGAAAATCACTCGGGTCCGCTAACGAATCCGCTGGCCTTCGCGTGGTATAGCGAGACGACACTAGGGCCGCGCGTTACTTACTTGCACAGCTGATGCATGAGACGGGCAGCAAAGTCGCGCAGAGCCCAGTGGTTGTCGACGTCTGGTCGCATGCATAGCTGTCGGCTCACGATGCACGTGCAGATGGCCGGGATCAACTCGTGCAGCTGAAAGACACGATGGCGGGCGTCGAATATGAATTTTCTAATGAATAAAATAATTTTTATATCGAAAATTTAATATTTCTAATTAAGTAATTTAATTTTTTTTCTTTTTAATTTTAATATTTTTAATTCATATTTTAATATCGAATTTTTTATTTTTTCGGGGGCGATGCAATTGTCGCTTTCGGTTAAATCAGAAATTTTAGCAGGCAGGAGTGACATAAGAACACGATAAGAAAACGAGAAACACTCACTGTGCGAGCGTATTCACAGATACTGTCAATCATTGAAAATTAAGTTATTGTGAGGTACCAGCGTCGTCTATAAGCACTGCTATACTGACACCTATCGCATACTCACGTATTTCTCAAGGTACAGCGTCGTGTTGTCCATGAGTGACTTCACCATGCGCATGAGGTAGATGAGCAGCGCTAAATTATTCTGCACCACATTCACCTTCACCTGTTGCAAAAATGCTGCCATCAGCACAACAACGGGGCTAGTGCAGGCAAGCTACAAATATCTTGCTGTCAATGTTCATGCAGCACTAGCATAACTGCTAACGTTAGAGTAGCTTCCGATTCCCAGAGAAGCGAACCTGTATTCATGAAGCAATATAGCCAATGGTAACTCTTGCTTGCTCACTTTCAAACAAGTGCCGCAGAGCGACAGCGGTCAACTGACGTGTACTGTAGCCGGGTATTCTTCTGATAAACTCACTGGCAACCGAATCAAGTGCGCCCTCCCGCCACCGCGTTCGCGCTCAGAGCATATATCTAGGATACTACTAATACAGATCTAAAATCTATGATAGGCTTTGCTATGCCGGCAGTACAGTAATAAAGATACAGCTGTGTAACTTTAATGACTTCGCTATATTAACGTGTTATCAAGGATATGCGTCGAGCACGAGCGTAGTGGTGGTTGTGGGGGGAGGGTGGGGGGAAGGGGCACTAATAGCAAAAGCAGTTCAGTCCTTTGTTAACAGTCAACAAATCCATGTTTAACCCTCCTCTTAAAGGTCAAAAGGTTATCAGACACTTACTCTTCGCACGTCAGCAGAAAGTACATTTCATGGTCCTTTCAATAAAGTGATAAAAATGGTAGGTCAGCGCTGAAACAAAAACGTTTTGAACTCAGTCCGTTAGACCATGTCCTCAGAAAATGTCTGATATCTGACCTTTTCCCCACTGCCCTTTGACCTGTAACCACCAATTTTGCGCTGGTGATGGGTTTCCTCCCCATCACACTATACATCGAATATTAAGAGCGAATGTTGAGCCATTGAGATTTGTGCCGCAATTCCGTATTTCCTCCTATACCTTAAGTTAAGGGGGAAATATTCCCCCTCCATTGACACATCAATAGACACCCAAATTCGACATCCTTAGTCCTTTTCGTGATCCCCCCAACATGCCGAATATCAAGACCGTACGTCGAGCGGTTAAGATTTGTGCCGTAACTGTTGACACGCGGACGGACGGCCGGACGAGTCGCACGCACGCACGGACATTCATGCGATTCTGCAAGCTGCATCTGACTTCGTCAGCTGAGCTAAAAATAGTGTGATAAATTATCATACATGCATCATCGAATCTGGTAGATTCGATATTTCGTGGACTCACCCCTTCACAGATAAATGTACTGAATCTCGGCAGCATCTGGTAAAGTCCAGGATCTGTTGCCAGACTATGCAGTGCTTCCTATACAAAGATAACCAGACAATCTTTGTTAATAGTGTATATATACTACAGTGACCAAATATCGAATTAACGCCTATATCTTTGTCTATATAGCACGACTTAATTCTCCCACTAATATCCTACAGTTCACAAACATAACTGAACTCGCTCTTATCTTCGTTATACCAGGAGTTAATAAAGACAAAGACATTTGTCTTTATTAACTCCTGGTTATACCTATGATTGATGGTGATGGTAGCACGGGGTGATCCGTGACCCACAGCCAGACAGACAGACAGACAGACGTGCAAACCCACACACACACACACGCACGCACGCACGCACATACACGCACGCACACGCGCACACACACACGCGCACACACGCACACGCGCACGTACCGCGCGTCGCGACTCGTCGCTGCCGACGCACGCCTCCGTGATCTCCTTGTAGTAGAGCTGCTGCTCGACGGAGAGCTCGTGGATCTCGAGGTCCTTCAGCTTGACGAGCTCGGGCTGACGCGGCGTGCGGTGCTTGCCGCGTCCGCCGCCGTACTTGCTAGCCTTGTCCTTGAGCGGCTTGATGGCGGCAAGCTTCGCCAGCGGGTCAAGGCTCTCCATCACCTGCTCCGACTTCTCCGCTGCAAGACCGAGATCGACGATCATTACTGTTATTATTATTATTATTAATAATAACATAATTATAATAATAATTATTATTATTATAGTTGAGTAAATCACAGCATTAGGAGCACTTTGGCAACTTCTGGGTTGACATTGTCCCAACTTGGGACATAGGGTTTTTTTAGCATAGACATTTTGATAGAATGTGAGCTGTTTTCATTAGCGCAATCTTCTTGAGAAGTGTGTTAGCCAGGGTTATTATTATTAGCAGTAGTAGTAGTAGTAGTAGTATTATCATTATCATCATCATCATCAACATGATCATTATTTATCATTATTACTAGTCCCCTGCACCCAAAATGGGACACAATGTTGCCAACACTCTCTGCTATCCAGGCCTGTCTCCTGTGCCTCAGCTCAGGATAAGAAATGGATAGTGAAACAGATACAGTAACTTTGAAGAAGAACTGTAGACACAGTGATGACTTTTAAGCTAGCTGTATGATAAAATGTTTTTTTTTAAATAATATAGCTTAAGGACTCACCCGGTGGGGGATTCTCAGGAATACCAGGTTGTTGCCCCTCAATGCTTAACCAGTGAGCTAGCAGGAAACAAAAATACCATGTGTATTATTTTATTATATCATAGTTTAGGTTAAACTTATTAAATGGTTCAATCAGCCTTAATTATATTACTACCCAAATTAACAATAGTTAACCATAAGGGTAAAGCCCATGTTTTGGTAATACCTAATTTGTTATACTGACTGAATACAGCTGTCAGTAATGTAATGATAATTGCTGGTTTAAACTACAAATTTACTTCATTAATAATGGCAACCTTTCATAGCCACATCCAGTGGCACTTTGGGAAGCACTCCATTGATGACCTCCTCAAGATCAACTTCTTTTTCCTCTAGGAAATGAAGTTCACGACCACCTCCGCTCGCAAATCTGAATGGTATGTGCTCGCTCGACTCGAATCCATACAATGGCTGTGAAGAACAAACAGAATCGAGAAAAATCTCTAGCATTACATGTTTAAAATAAGCATACGATATAATAGTTTTCTTCAATGCAAACAGTTATATTAATTATAATCGCAAACGATATACCCAATGTAGCTTACTAACTACATACAGCTAATTGTAATTAACCATCCATGCTTTACATAAGTAAAATTGGTTCACTTTATTATATCTTAATTGGAGAGTCCATTCGATTTAATACATGAACGTACCTCTACGTTTCTGACTTTTAGCGCATTGTCAAAATCAGCCGGCATCAATCGTTTCCTCTTCCCATGTCTCATGAACTTTTGTGCATCCTGAAAGCAGCACATAATTATGTTGGCTATAGTAAGGAGTTGCAGCATCACCTTAACAGAATTTTTTTACAAAATCTATTACTAGTAAATACTACATCAGGGTGCGAAATTAACGGGAGTCCGGAGTCAAATACTCCCTCATTTACTGTCGGATTCCCTGATTTGACATATGCTGGAGTCCGTGTGACTCCCAGAAAATTCTGCGATACTGACTAGTTCGTTCCGGAGCACGGCCTCGCGGAATTACTGTATTTTTTCAGCTAATGTCCCAAGAAAGTTTGGCAGACGTGCAACTGCATAAATCTTAAAAACAAGCACATTGTTAATATCTTTAATTTTGAACAGACTGCAGACTCCCTCATTTTGCTGCGGACTCCCTCTTTTTGAGGGTAGGGAGTCCGTTGGGACTCCCGTGTTCAAAGTTAATTTCTACCCCTGCTACATGGTGCCAACGGTATCCTAGGCAACTGCTATCTAACATAGCCCCGTCTCAGTCTCCCTATTCCCTCTCTCCACAGCCGTTTTAATATGGAGAGCCTCCAGTTAGGTTAACTTTAGATTACTGGTGGTTAACAGCTGTTGTGATGTTACTGACTAACAGCAACCATAATTCATGACACATATCACATGCAGGTGTGCTAACCTGAATCAATAGCTTCAGTCTGTATGTGACATCCTCGGCCAAAGTTGACATCGACTCCTCTGTCAAGTTACTTATCCCAATCGACTCCGCAATGGATTTCATCGATTCCTCGGATAATGCAGACGCAACCTTCAGTTCCGCCATCTTTATAATGTGCCTACGTGTTGTGTTTGTGTTACTTGATAGCACCAAACTGTAAACATCAAGAGAGTAGGACCTGCAAACATTGTAATGGTTTTGTTAATTTTTTTACACAGGACCAACAATGCAGTATTTGCCAGTGACCTTACCAGCAGCACAGACTTTTGACATGTTGCAGAGAAACATCACAGTGCCACACTCATAGTCATATGCATTCTAGCAGATACATGCAAAACTTCTATCCTTTCACAAGATCTATCATGGTCAGGTGAAGATTGGTATTCCCTCATTTAATGAAACTTCTCTAATGTCCATAGTACTCAATCATCTAAACCTGATCCCTGCATTCGACATATGTCATCATTAAAGGATTCTTCCAAGTTTAGATATTTTGTTTCTTTCATTCTATATTGGAGTTATTATCCTTCTTCTCGTGGTTATTAGTGAAATTGAAACTTTTTCTACTGCAATCCAGTGTTGATCTATCGATTTGATCAATATTGACTCTCTCTGTCTTTGGTATAGTCCCTTGGACTTTGAAGACTAATCCATATGAGGTTATGAAGTAAGAACAATAATCCGGGGAAACATGTATGCACAGCGTTTCTCTAAACCTACCAGAAGATTATCAGCTCGACCAAGAGATAGGACGTGCACCACAGGTGGCAATTAGTACAAGTTAACATTCGGCTACTCAGAGATGCAAATGTGGAGGCAGCTTTTAGTGTATTTTTGCTGTGATGGTATAATACAAAGTGAGCTTGCATTGTGTGAATTCGCCGCTCACGCTTTCCAACCTGTTCTCGCTTTCTGTGAGTTTGTCCACAGAGGTGTGCGTGTGGTGAGATCGTAACAAAGTGACAGTGGGTTGCAGAGGAATGCTTAAACAGCGTTTACAGGGAATTAGTACAGCTTCAGCCCACTACTAAGCTTAAGGCGAGAGAGGGTAGATAAACATACAACATACGTGTTTATTTATTATCATTTTAATACTGCAAAGGCCCAAGTAACCGACTGACTGCAGGGTACTTTACACTGTACCGAGGAGTAAGATATACAACTGTATTATGTATATCTAGCTTCTTGAAGTTCTTCCACAGCCCAGGATCTCAAGCTAGCGCGCCAGTCAGCCTCCCCTGTAAAAAATGTGAATGGGCTCACTAAAGTACTGTACACTTTACAGTACACTACTTCATAGCTCTACTCTAGTAACTATAGCTCTAGTACTATAGCCCGCGTACAGTTGCCGCAGGCCTGAGGCAATTGTACGCGGGCTATAGTACTAGAGGCTAGAGCTATAGTTATTAAAGTACTATAGATACAATAATGTAACCCAACAAGAGTAGGGTTACAACTACTAGATACAATAATGTAACCCAACA